GAAAATCTCAGTTTTCAAAAATATCCGTGTACGTGTGGACGTAGCCTTAAAGTCGACCTGTACTTCTCTTTTCCAGCTCTGTATCTTTATTCTGAGGCGTACTAATAGCATTTAAAAAAGAAAATGTTTTAATTGTCTTATGTTTGCCCTTCTGTGTAGATCCTTTGCTACATCTAGTGTGTGAAATGAGCCTTTTGACTTGTCCGTTGTAATTTAATTGGGTATAAGCTCTATGGAGCCACACAAGTGCAGCCCTCAGTATTTCGTACCTGTGCTGCGCCTGAAGCAGATAACTGTATAATGAAATCTGCAACAAGCTGATGTCAGCTCGTTGTGAAAGTATGAGTAGCCTGAAGCCTGCAATCTTTTCAAACATATAACAATATGAAGCTCATTCAGAAAGAGTTGAAAACACATATTTGATTTGGCAGATTTTTGACTGGATGCTCTTCCTGATGCACTCCGAGGGATTTATGCCTTTTCCTTGAAACCAGCGTGTGTGAGCCAAAGGTGTGAACTCCTACACTATGGAGAAACACATTAACAACATACGACAGAAATTAATTCAAGTATAACTTTAATGAATTAAAGTCCAGTTATTAAACTTTTCCACAAAACAATAATCAGTATACACAGTTCAGCTTTTTACTGCATTCATATCACACATCAGGAATAAGCTGAAATTTTAGAAAGTTTACTTCACAAAATGACGTTACTATAAACAAGACTGAATGTAATAGCACCCATTTGTCACCAATTAGCATAGGAAGCGAGAAGTAGCAGGTTTATGGTCTTAACAACCTTCATGCTTGTGTATGTGTCATGATTCCCGTAAAGTCCCACTTCAAGCCAGTCACAGGTTACGTTTTTAGTCCCTGTGTAACAGCCCCAGCAGCACTGGCTGTTTATACGCTGTTTAAAATCTAGATTTTATTTTTTGTAATAAAGCAAACTAGCCATTTGTCCCTTCTTCAGTATTTATGCTCAAAGCTAAATGTTCTTTAATTGTTTAAAGGGGTTTTTATGTAAACTGCAGACTTGGCATAAATGGATGAATTTCACAATTGGAATTGTTAACCTTGTTTTCTGTGGTCCATAAATGTGTCGTGAAGGGACGCGCCATATTTGTGTTTCACCTCCTCTAAATTTATGTAAATATGTTTGGCAGCAGAGAGTAAAATGTTTGGAAACGTGTATCTTGGGCAGATCTTTGAACTTTTGCAGCATTAGCAGTTTTGTGTTGCCTCTTGCTAAATGGATACTTTCTGGTGTACATATTGTCAACGCATGCTGTCATTTAAGCCTCAGCTGTATTCATGTGGCACTCGAATGGATTACAAATAGCAGCGGAGTTTATCTGCTTTGTTACGACAAAATGTGGACACGGTTGCATTTCTGCAGTATGTGATGGGCAACACATCCTGCCTTCCTGTGTTTTTAATTTATATTGACTTTGACTGGCTGACAGCAGCACTGGTGTTTTACGGTGGACAAACCTGTGGAGTCGATGCGTCCTATGCACCTTTAAAGTAACCACTATATCTCCTTCATGTGCCCCTGGTGATTAACCTGTGGGACTGTTGACAGCTCCAAAGCACAGACGTTGATTCCTCCACCTCTTCCTGGACGTCTTTATGTACGGACTATTTTTCTGGCAGCACCAGAAACGACGTGTGGACGACCATCCACCCTAGTAGTCACACTTCATGCCAGCGTTGGGACTGACTGCTCTCTACTGATATTTATTGTTCCTCAATAAAACACCGAAGTCTGAGATGTGTGTGTGTGACATGTATAATTTTGAAATATAATAATATTATAAAATAAAATATATTTCATGCCAGGAAGTCACCACTTTTAGACTCAGTTG